ATAGTGAGTTTTATAGAAAATGTAAACTGATAAATTGCTGTCACTGATAGTTGTGGAGGAGCACATTGTTTCAGATGTTTGATTACAGGGTGTGGGACTAGTACAACAACACCTGATCCAAAAACTGTGCTGCTCCCTTGTGACTTGCAGCAGTTTTTTTAAACAAACTTTAATGAAACTGGGATAGCACTCAGTACAGTTCACACTTTAACCAAGGTTCAACTTTTCACTTATCAAATCACATTTAAATTTACTAGGTCCAGATTTTTATTTGGATCTGCACAGAATTCCCCACACTCATAAATATAAGTCCCCTAAACATGGATGCATCATTCTCTGAGAAACCAATGTAAATGTTATGAGAATGCAATGCTTATGGAAAAAATAATAATTCTGGATCCACCTTCTGATCTAGATCTGCACCAAAATGTAATTTGTTCTTCTCTGATTCAAACCACATCCTTGTACCAAGTGTCGTGGTAATGGGTTTAGTAGTTTTTGCATAATCAACAAACAAACAAATGGACTGGTCAGAAAACATAACCTTCCTGGTCGGGTTTATAAACGTCTCAGGTCTGTTGTCAGAATGTTTGGGTCAGTTATTGGCTGATATCCATGTGGTGTTATTCCCCCCGCTCAGGTGCTGATTTGTCGAAACTACAAAGGCGATGTGGACATGGCGGAGGTCGACCACTTCATGCCTCTACTCATGCAACATGAAGAGGATGGGCTCGTCTGTCCTGTGATGTCACACGGCAACGTTCACTTCATGTGGGTCAAACACAGCAACCTCTACTGTATCCTTGTGGTGGACGTTGTTACTGAGGGGACAGAGTCGTGGTAGGCAGATGATTGTAGTCAACTTTGTACCAGATCATGTCGTCAAACACATTCAAGAGATTTTCATTCATTACAGTCTATTGATTATTTTCAACAGTGACTTTATGCTCATCTTTAAGCAAAACTATATAATTTTTACTGTGCAACAGCGCCCTCTGCAGCATAGTAATACATTCTGTTAGACTGCATAGAGTGATAGTGTTTTTTTTATCAATCTGTCAATGTGTTGATTCAGTCCCACAATTCACTCACAAAAGAGATTACATGGAGCAAGAACAGTGGTTGGGGGTGATGAGTGGGAATGAAAGCGGCATCATTCTCCACATTCTCAGTCATTGTAAAATCAGAATGATTTTGAAGCTGATATTTTAAGTTAAAAAGTTGCACAGTGTAGCTTTAAGGATAGATCACTTAAGGCTAACAGATTACAGCGATTATAACTGTAACAAAACATGAATGTGGAGTACTCCTTGACCTGAACTCTGCACAGTGGTGGCCACCACAAACAAGAACTCCAACGCGTCCCTGGTGTACTCCTTTCTCTACAAACTAGTCGAGGTGAGTCACACATGTAATTCAGTTTACATTGTAATTTACATTTGGTGGTGACCATTCAAATATTTATTATGCATCCAGTATCCAAGAGTAGATTTGCATATATGTGGAAAGCTGGTGTAGTGATTATTCAGAGTAAGACTGTTGAGGCTGATGTGATGTGTGATGTGATGTGTGTGCAGGTATTCACAGAGTATTTCAAAGAGCTGGAGGAGGAAAGCATTCAGGACAACTTTGTGGTCGTCTACGAGCTGCTGGATGAGCTGATGGATTTTGGATTCCCCCAGACCACTGACAGCAAGATCCTACAGGAGTGAGACTCCCCAACATGCACACTGATGCACATACCGACATACAAACAAGATGTGTATATTGATTACATTGTGTGGTGTTGAATTACAGTGGACTATCTCATTCTTATGTCATGCTGTGCAGATACATTACGCAGCAAGGCACCAAGCTTGAGGTGGCAAAGACCAAGGTGCCGACCACTGTCACCAACGCCGTCTCCTGGAGGTCAGAGGGCATCAAATACAAGAAGAACGAGGTGTTTATCGACGTCATTGAATCCATCAACGTGCTGGTAAGACACGATAAGGATCTTTTCATTGTGCCCTGTCATGGTGGCTTCTGTCACCTTTATATTTACTAAATAAAATGATAGTTTTCAAGAGCACTGCACTTTTGAAAAATAGAAATTTGAATAGAGAGATTATTCTGCTGTCGTGTAGTTATTTTACTTTTATGTGTCTGTATAGTAGGACTACAATCACCAGAGGGGACTGTGTTGTGCAGTATTAATAAGACTATTAGAATAGTGTAAAAAAAAAAAAATTAAACATGTGATCAAACTTGTGATCATGTGATCACTTTATTTGCGGAAGATGAACTGATTGCATGTTTTCTGTGATACTGGACTCTCTCCTGTATGTTGAGCTTCATTTCTCTGCCTGTTGTTTACTTTAATAAATCAGTTAATCATCGTTTAGTCAATGAAAACATCGTTTCAGAATTGTTTGCTCACTGTGTGTTGTTTGTTAAGGTGAATGCTAATGGTAGTGTGATGAGCAGTGACATTGTGGGCAGCATCAAGCTGAAAACCATGCTGTCTGGGATGCCTGAGCTGCGCCTCGGCCTCAACGATCGGGTGCTCTTCGCCCTCACAGGACGTACGTATACGTGGCTCCTGAATAACGTTATCTGTCTGCTAGTCCACTTATATATAAAGATATGTAGCTCATCAATCTGTTTAACTTTTGTTTAAATGAATAACTACTCCCTGTGTTGTTTTTACGTTTAGGTGACAAGGGGAAGACGGTGGTGATGGAAGATGTTAAATTCCACCAATGTGTCCGTCTCTCACGGTTTGACAGTGATCGCACAATCTCCTTCATCCCTCCAGACGGGGAGTCTGAGCTCATGTCCTACCGCATCAATACGCATGTTAGTTCAATGAAGTACCGGAGATTCATACGAAAATGTTTTGTATTTGTCATTTATATATGATTTATGCCTCACAGGCTTCATTTGTCTTATGAAACCCAGAGAGCTGTGAATGATTTAATTCAGCGTAAATGTTAGTGATTGAATCAGTGTCATTTTCTGCATGTTAGAGGAGCGTAATAATATATAGAGAGAAATAAATATTTAAATAAGACTTCATTGATCCCATGATGTGAAATGTGCATGTAAATTCCTAATGAAATAGGTACAACTAATCAATAAATTACAGGAATTACATTACAAATATAACAGTACTTAAGGCAATATACAGGATAAGTGGTATAGATAATGGTTGGATGGAGACGTTGATGTGCAAATTGTATGAGTAGAATAAATGAGTTTGGTAGGGAAGACTCAGAAAACCTCATATTTGAGCCTTTTGTTAGTTTCCAGGTAAATTAATGGTTTAAATTGACATGTATACTGAGTGATTTGCATGTGAACAAAAATATCACCATCACATTCTTTTAATTGTTAAATCATTTGTATAATGAGACGCCGTCCTTTATCCCTCACAGGTGAAGCCTTTGATATGGATCGAGTCAGTCATAGAGAAGTTCTCTCACAGTAGAGTGGAAATCATGGTGAAGGTATGAATGACCAACTGTATGTTTTACAGCACAGGCAACAGAATTACATGCAGTATTTAAAGACACATTTTTTATCATTAACTAGAAATATACACTTTGTGAACTTAAACTTAAAAGAACATGGAACAGAGTAAAGAAAAAAATTGTTCTGTCATGTCTTCTGCCCTGAGACCACAGCAAGGGGGAGGCTTCATTCACATGTCCTGCAATGTTGTTTTGTGTTTTTAGGCAAAGGGGCAATTCAAAAAACAGTCAGTGGCAAATAATGTGGAGGTGAGGGTCCCTGTTCCCAGTGATGCCGACTCGCCCAAGTTCAAAACCAGCACAGGCCACGCCAAGTATGTGCCCGAGAAGAACCTGGTGGTGTGGACCATCAAGTCTTTCCCTGTAAGAAAAGCATAACTTTATCTTTATTTTCAAATGATATTACTATGCTCAATGTATGCTGACATTCAGGTCCAATGTTGACTTGTTTTGTTCTGTTCCTCTCTCATTGTGAATTCATCTATCCAGGGAGGTAAAGAGTTTCTAATGAGAGCTCATTTCGGTTTGCCCAGTGTGGAAAATGAGGAGCTTGAGGGCAAACCTCCGATTACTGTCAAATTTGAAATCCCATACTTCACAGTCTCGGGAATACAGGTATGTGTGCACAGAGGTTTTGGTTAGTTTCTTATTTAATGCCACTGAAAACAAGAATATATCCCGTGAAGCACTTTTATTCAGGATCAGAACTTCAGTAAGTGCTGATATGCTTATTCTAGGGAATCGGATTTAATTTGATGATATAAATGTTTCTTGCCTCAACACGTTGGGTCTCTGTCTGACCCACTCTTTTCCCTCAGGTGCGATACATGAAGATCATAGAAAAAAGTGGTTACCAGGCCTTGCCCTGGGTGCGCTACATCACACAGAGTGGAGGTAAACATTTCATTTTTCATCAGGCCTTGATTTTAATAAGACAGTTCTTTTAACATGTGTTTCAGTTTAGGATGGATCGCATTTAACCTGCAGCTAACATTTTTGTCCCCCTTTTTTTTCTAGATTACCAGCTGAGGACCAACGTCTGAAGCCTGGGGGACCACACTGCTGAGTCTCACTCACCTCCTGAGGGAGCGTCAACGATCACTTTGACTGGACTGAAAGAATGTCTTTAAAATTTCACCTGCTCTTTGTAATGTCAGTTGTTTTTGAAGTCTGTGTGCTGCTTGATTTTAATGTTTCTATTATGGGACCACTGCTAATTATTTAAATACTTTAATCAAATGATCCCATTTTAACCTCTTTGCTGTGTGACCTGCTCCTCCTCTGGTTGTTGTCAGGAGCTGGCAGCGGCACATCAGGGGCAGGTCACGCCCTCATGATGTAGAAACACATTGTACAATCACAATCACTAAATTCCGCCTAAAGTTAAACACTTGAACCGCCTTTTTTCTTCCTCACTCGCCTCCGGAGAAGCAGCAGCAAAGGTCAGAAATGTGAATGAACTGCCTTTTGAAGACAGCAACGTATACGAATCGCCCGCTTTCTTCGCCGCGTGCTCTGATTGGCCGATCGCGGCTGTTGCCACGGTGATAGTGTAGTAACCGAGTTGTGACCCCGCCGCTTTTACCGTATATGGAAGAGCAACGCCCTCTCGGCGAGCGCTGATTGGTCGGCGTGCGTTCTCCCCCCAATGTTTGTAAATTGTAGTCTGGAGACGCCGCAGTGTGGATCTCACCGCGCAAATGTATTTTCTAATGTTGATAAACTTCGCTTGTTGGGATTTCATTTGAAAAGCGAACTCAACGGACTGTAGAAAAAAGAGCGGGACTCGAACCTGTGCGACGCTGTGGATCTTGAAGAACCGAAGCAGGTACGTGGAAAAGCTCTGGCGTTAACCCCCTTTAACAATGCTAGCGGTTAGCCTGGGTGCTAACTGTCTGTGACACTCAAGTGAGCGGTGTATCCGTCGGGGGAAACTAATGTTCACACGAGGCCTGGTCTGTGTTAGAGGACGGGTCGTTTAGAAAAACCGACCCGGTGTAGGAAGAAGCTACCGCCGTCAGTTAACATGGCGTCAGCGGGGAACCGAAGCTAACGTTAGCCGGATGCCGCAGTAGCTAGTTGTAGCCGTGGGGTTAATCTCCCTGATCTCGGGCTCCGTCGTTCAGCTGTCAACACGAGCAGCCCTTTGTTGTTCTGTCGGTGGCGTTAACCCGACATGCTCGTCTTCCACCGAACAGGCAGCAACAGACGGCATCATGGTGCGTTGTCCGATGGAGACCGGCGAGGATTTGACGGCGGCAGCAGCCAGAGGGAGTACGAGCGAGGTGCAGCGGATCCTGGAGGAGAGCGGAGTGCATCCCGATACTGTCAATGAATTTGGCAGGACTGCGCTGCAGGTGAGCACCGGTCCCCGTGTGATCACGCCTCAGGTCATCCGAGGTTTCACTGCACTAACACAGCTGGTGTAGAAATATGTCAGTACACGACTTGTCCTGTATCTGGATTATCTGAATCAAGTTATTGATCTGTTACAGCGCCCTGTATGTAAGTGTGTGTGTTACATATATTATATATATTAGAATCTAATCGTACTAAAGTCTCTGAGAATACCACATATTACCTGGAAACTGAGTAAACTCCGGCAAAGTATGGAATATTTTATGTTTTGACTTGGTACATCTCGATAAAAACACAGATTCTATTCACTGTGAACTAATGTCAGTCTTCAGTTGAGCTTGAGATTCTCCTTCATTCTGCTTCTTGTAGTTTGTGTTGCTGTAGGTTTGCTCTGTTAAATGTAAAGGTGCTTAATGTTGATCTAACCGTATCAGAAAGAGTGGGCTGCACTCAAGCATTATTTATTGATGGATTTTCATGTCTTTAAACATTTATTCAATTGAAAAATGACAAACGGTGAAAAGGGTCCATCACAATTTGCCTGGTGTCAAAATGACATTTTCACCTGCTTGTTTTCAGATGTAAATGTCATGTTTAAGATGTTTAAGTTAGAACAGGAAAACAAAGAGAGAAGCAGAGAGAAGCAGCAGATCCTCACATTAGAGGAGCTGGATCCAGAAACTGACATTTTCTTTCATATTTGACTAAAGTGATTAATCATCAGATTTCTTTCTGATCAAATTTCTGTTGACCGATTAATTGATTAAACTACTCGTTCTTGTTTCAGCTCTTCTTAATATAATCAATATATCTCAACAGCACCATAAACTACATTCTCCAAAATATTAAAAAATGTGAATCCCATCCTCTCTTACCTGCCACAAAACATGATACATTTTATTAGTTGTTTTTATTTTATTAGACAGTCTTTATTTCACTCAGATGAACCTGACATTAAAAAGATGCATTTTTAATTAAAAATATTCACTTCTCTTATTCCTGTCCTGCAGTGTCACTAATGAGGTTTAAAACAAATCCTACCAGATCCTGTTTGACTTATTTTCATGAGAATTACGTTTTCTTGACTAAAATTAGATGTTAAAGAAATCTCTGTATTTGAGAGTCTGGGATCATATCCCCCCATTTACACAGATGTGTTGAGTTCATTATGTCCCTCTTAATATGTTCAACAGGTGATGATGATGGGGAACTCCAAAATCGCCACACTGCTGTTGGAAAAAGGAGCAGAACCCAACGTCCAGGACAGACACGGGATAGCTCCCGTCCACGATGCAGCTCGTACGGGATTCCTGGACACTGTGCTGGTTCTGGTGGCGCACGGTGCTTCAGTAAATATCCCGGACCAGAGTGGCACCTTGCCTATTCACATTGCCATCCGCGAAGGTCACCGGGATGTTGTGGAGTTCTTGGCCCCACGGTCCGACCTGAGGCACGCCAACTTCAGCGGGCAGACGGCGATAGACGTGGCCCGAGCTTCCGGCGAGCCCGATATGATTGACTTAGTTTTCGCTCACATACATCGTTAGGCAGTCTGTGGTGCCAGGTGCCTTCTGGGTCACCATAACCTCATGTTTTGTTTTGCTTCAAACCTGGTGACTTGAATTCATTGGTGTGTAAAGGATTAATGTTTTGTTCATAGTGGTTCAGCATTAATATGTGACACAGGACATATTGTCTTGGCAGCTTATTTTCAGTTGATGGGTGGCTACATACAGTAGACACCTCTTTTGCACAGTGCAGTTTAGGCACCTTATATCTCTGTTTTTCCCTATTAACTGGGAGTGCACATCTGTAGATAGTTTTCCCTCAGTATTTTGTTGTTTTACATTATTTCCATTGTGTACGAATTGTAACAGTTGCTACCATTTATGTGTTTTTTAAAAATTTTACAAACTTGACATGGTGCACCCTGATTGCTTTGCATAGTTGTCTCTCTTAACTACATGAACTTAGACTTTGAATTTACTCCTTATTTATTGTTGGTATAGGACTGAATGTTCCTGTCACTTTGTAAATAGTGACATTTATTGTGATTTGTTGAAATGTTATTTATATAAATCCTTTTAAAATGAAAGTGAGAGTTTTTCACTTTGCTATTTGAAGATGAAAGCACAAAATAAAGTCATGAACTTGAAGTTGTGAAGTCGTAGTGTGGATTTTCTACAGTATCCTGTATTTAGCTGTGCTGTGTTTTTGGAGCTACAACGAGGTGGCTACTACTGATCTATTGTGGTCATTGCTGTATTTATTTCTGGTCATTTAATAAACTTAATAGTAGAATTTTCCAGGTAATGTTTTGTACAAAACCAATTTGCTGTACTTTGCTGTACATTTTTCTTGCTATGAGTGATTTGTGATAATTTGTCCGACTGATCATCATCTTTGTTAAATCATGTTAACAACATAACATATTCCTTCTGCACTCACAATGATCTGCTGTATTTGACCTTTTGAGCCAAATCCGAGTGGTTCCTGTTGATTACGTTGCTCAAATCCTCAAGCGTCCAGTGCGTCTTCAAGGTGATTCATCAAGGGCATTTATAAATAACTGAACAGTGGAATGCATCACACAATGAAAAGCCTCTCAAAGGTCACACAGATAACTGAACTGAAACTCAACATGAATGAGGGCCCTGTTGTGATGAGGATCGTAGGTAAGGTGCAGCACAGTTTGCTGATGTTTGTGCTCTTGTGGTACAATGCCTATTCTGTTTTGGGTTTTTTTCTTTTCTGTGCCAGTGGCCAACTTCACCAGCCGAGAAAGGAGACACAGTTCAGCTCCTGACGTGCTGCCAGCTCTGCGCAGAGGCCCATGATGTTACAGTAATAAACACAATGTTCTCGCAATATTTCAATGTATTCAAACCTTTTTCTGAGTTTATGAGGCAACACAGACATTCTTAAGCAATCATAGATAACTCATTTGGAGAGTTTTCATTTTATTCCACTGTTCACAATTCAGTTTCACAACAGGAGGAACTAGAATGGCACTCCGTAAAGCGCATTCCTCCGCGTACCCAACAGTTGCCTTAAAGTCAAATCAAGCTGCACTAAAGTGCTCACACTCAAAGATATTATTCTCCTAAATGTGCCTGATTGTTTTTATTAAAATCCATGAATAATTCTCTGGACAAATTGTGAAAATGTCCAAAACGCCCTATCTCAAACCTGGACCACCATAATATATAATCATCTTATACAATATGATTATGATTATTAAAGTGATTTACTATTCAATTGGTTGCAATTGATTCTACCTTAGTGGCTACAACAATAAAAAGCTTTTGATATCCAGTATGAATGCAGTCATTATATACTGTAGCATGAGTATTTTAACTTTTGATACTTTAATAATATTCATTGATGATATGTCTAGTTTGACTTAAGTAATACTTTGAATAGAGGAGCCTGTGTGAATATTGCTCTGGTCTGCAGTCACATGTTGTTTTCACCTTCCTGTTTTACATATTCCCACACACCTGCTGCACAGTCCAACCACAGTGTTTGCCTTCTGGTATTTAACAACTCAGCTCAAGCTGCTCCAGTTTAAACGTCTGCCTCAAGAGCACTTCAGCAGCTGTTGTCCACTCATATACTCTCCTCACCCAGGCCTTACCAGCCAGTCCTGGGTTTTAATAATAGTAAATGCATTTTATTTATGGGCACCTTTGAAGACACTCGAGGACACCTTAAAGATATAGCAACTATAAAAAAAACTGCAGA